GGGTTAAAAAAATTCGATTTGTTTTTTTATATTTTTTGCCTCTCTAAAGTGTGTAGAATGTTCCTGTAAAAGGATTTTATAATACTCGAAATGTTAAAGCAATTTATAAAATTTGTTAAACCGGATTTTACATCGGTCGAAAATCAAGTAAGCTCGATGGTATTATGCACAAAACAAGTAAAAATCAAAAGAAGGAAATCAATAAAATGCAGCAAAATTTGTTATTTGAACAGAAGAGAAATTAATTTATCTGGGCCAGGAATCGCTGGTTAAATGTAGTGCAAAACATTGTAGTTAATTAAAATCGTTATCATAAAATAAAACTTTATTTTTCACATTTTTCTCGAATTCATGTTTTTCAAACTGGCGTGAAATGTACAACCAATCATCCGATTGACTTAAATTTTTCGCTACGTAAAAAAAAAATTTTTATGGGGCCATGGACCTAAAAATACTATAGTATAAATTTTCCAAAATATCTTTATTTGAACAGGTTAAAAGTAAAAAATAGTTCGTGAAAATTAACACTTAATTACAAACGGCTATCATTTTGTAAATTTTCAGATTTTTCAAATGAAATAAAGTTCATGGCCTCAAAAATTTAATGTTATATATTTTAATAATTTCATTAACTTTTTGTCTCAAATAAACTAAATCGATAACCAGGATGTCACGCCAGTTGATCACGTACACGCTGCACGCTTTGATGCAGCCTAAGAAACAGCCACTATATTTACATTTCGAACAAAAAAAATTATTTGTACGTGTGAAATATATAAAACATTGTACCAAACATTATTTTGATATCTCCTTCTCTTCCTTATAAAAAAAAAATGATAAAAAATACATAGTTTATATATATAGGTCAAAAATTTAGTGCTTTTTAGGGTCTAATTTAGTATCAGAATTTTAGTGTTCAAATCGTTTAGCAGATATAAAAAAAAATGGGGGGTCCAACTGAATGGCAAGCCCCACAAAAAAAATATATACAATGTACAAAAAGTAAGTACAGGAATTTTAGTGCTAATTTAGTGTTCCAAAAAAAAAAAAAATTAAAATTAAAATATATTGGGAAGTCACTTTCGCGCTACGCTATCGGTAACCACAGATGGCGTTTCTATCACCGGCACGTTCGTCTCTGCGTGCATAGTTCGACGAACCAGTTCGAGCACGACATGCGTCGCGACTGTTACTTCATCGTTCTGTTGCTGTAGCTTTTCACAGAATATACGTTTCATAGATTAAAAGTTGTGTGTCACATTCCTTAAACCTTACGTCTCTGCAATCCCTCCTCAACAAAATATAGCGTTAATTAAAATATTCAAACAGTACACGTCCTACATGGCGCCGCGTCATAAAGTTCATTACCGGATCGTCAAATAATTTGGTGCTCGCATATTACAATAATATTAAAACAATCCTTAGACATCATACTATCGAAATATATTTCGGATGTTAGTGCTCATTCTTAGTTAATGAAAATAATTAATTCGTCGCGAAAGAGCGCGCACTTGAAAGTTCGTTACCCGATCATCAAAGATTCAAAATTGTGATAATGACATTATCGTTAGATATCGAAATATATACAAATCCAAATTTGAACTGAATTCGCATGCGGCACTTTTCAAAGCATGTTTCATTTCAAAGGGAGTTTTTTTTCAATCGATTCCTTTTCATTGGGATTGTTTACATCGTCGCACTGTCTCCAGACAGTCTGATTCCCCTCCCTTGGCCGTTACGTTTGGGTTAGTTATTAGTCGATCACCGTCGAAGTAACGTCGCAATTTCCGTGTTTCGGTTTTATTTATCGTTCGTTTCGGATTTCGGGTGTATAGTGCGACTAGTGTTTTATTCTTTTTTTTTTTCGTTCGTGATTTCGTATGAATTTTTTGTATCGATTTTTCGTACGATTTTTTTTTCCATTACTTGCACGATTGTGATAAGTACGTACGTTATTTGTATGATTGTGCAAAGATTAATGTCATGCCTGGAAGACCAACGAAAATAGGCATAGGCTCATCGACACATTAATTATAAAGACCGCTTGATAGTGGATGGTCAGAAGATTATTTCGAAATTGATATTTGGGTTACAATAACGAAAGAATTAGATAATCAGATAATCCCAATTTCGTTATATACATTTGTTATATGTAATAAACAAAATGTAAGAGATAAATTAATTGTCCCTCTGTCTCTCCTTATTAACCAATGGATATTGAACATCATGTTTCTGAGAACATTGATAATAGTAATGAATCAACGATAATTGAATCAACAGTGAATTCCACATTAAACGATTCTGCTATGTCTGCAAATAATTGGTGGTATACTAATATTTATTTTTACCGTGGAAAAGGCTGATTTTAATGCCATGATAATTCATAAAACATATATAGGCGAAAAGATAAAGGCCGACCTACTTCAACGCGTCAATATATAATACAATATTACAACCCGGTACATGGCAACACGTATTTACCTAGAAAATTTGGGAAAGTGCAAAACTGCCATGTAGTTTTAAACGGCATAAATTAATCAGCAATGGAGAATCTGAATACGCGTATGATTCATGTAAATGTGGCTCATTTATAAAATATAAGATAAATAATACTAATTACTGAAATAAAATGAAATAAATTTATTGAAGGAGAAAAAAAAGAACGCTGTTGTAAACTTAAAATATCCAATACTTAAGAAATCCAATTAGAGAAGCTGTTGCAAATGAATTATAAGGAAAAAGTACTATGAATATCGAGTTGAAACTGCACGAAAATTAATGATGATAATATTGAACATGATGATAATATTGCAAAGTGATGATAATATTGAACCTTCGCATTTATTTAGTGCAAATGTTTTACGAGTTGCCAAACGTTACAGAAAAAAGTTATTTTTAGGATCCAATAAAAGCTTTAAAAATTATGAAATTGGGTCCTTATAAGAACATTATTCATGATATTGGCTTAGATCCATTTTTTGTGCATTATTGGTCCAATTATCAATTAGATATGTACAGAACATACACATTAGACGAGACAGCTTGTGTTTACATAGACGCAACTGGCAGTATTATAAGAAAAATTAAAAGGCCTGATAAATCGAAGATAGAAAACATTTTTATATAATTGTGTAGCGAATTTTGAAAAAAGTGATCTTTTTCCAGCAACACAGATGTTATCTGAAAGACATAATACGAATGCTATTCAGTATTGATTCATGGAATGGATACGATCCGGTGCATCACGATCACGTGAAGTTGTATGTGCTTTTTCACGTGCATATTGACAGCAGCAATACGAAATTTTACTAATTATAATACACTGAACGAATATACAGATGCTTGCAAAGAAGATAATTTACCTCCCTGCTACATAGGTATCGATGTAGCACACTTTATTAAAAAATATTCCAACTTTTTAAAAGATTCACGTTTAAAAGCACGAAAAATAAACTACATGAATGGTCGTCTAAAAATAATACATGCAAATACTCAAGATCTTGATTTAAGAGAAAAAAAGAGTAGAAAATATTCTATTGAAATTCAAAATGATCAATTCAATTCGAAGCAGTTCAATTTCGCATAGAAATTCTTGAAAACGCAGATCCCTCGACCACCGATAAAAGAGTTCTCTATGAACATCACGCGCAACAGCGCGACAATTTTGGAGCTTCTTATTTCCAGTTAATGGCTTGTTATACCGCTCTTATTGAGCGTATGGAAAAAAACGCATCTCCGCCAACTTCAAACATAAATGCGGTGAGATCGACAAGCGGTGAGATCGAGGGAAACGCGTGTTAAATTGCCTAAAATAGATTTACCAGTTTTTACAGATGCATATGACGATTGATACTCCTCCCTTTGAACAGTTAATCCAGTTAAATGAGGGTTTAGCGGAAATTGAAAAATTTCATTATCTGAGGTCTTCCTTAAAGGACACTGTCTCTGATATAATTAAATCCATAGAGACCACTGCAGCCAATTATCATGAAGCATGGGCGGCGGTCATAGAACGTTTCGACAATCAGAGATGGATTGTTCAAAAGCATGTTCGCGCTTTATTTGAGGTACCGGCTGTACGTAAAAAAAATCACAGCATGACTCGTGAATTAGACACTATTCTTAAACATTTGCGCGCGCTCAAGGCCCTCGCAAGGCCTACTGATTATTGGGATTTAATTATTCATCTTATCATTTGCAAGTTGGATGTAGTCACCAGCAAGGCGTAGGATTTAAGTATCAAGGGAAAAGAGCTGCCAGATTTAAAGAGATTAATAGAATTCTTGACTCTCCGATGCCAGGCATTGAAATCAGTACATGGTGGATTTTACAATAGCGTAACAAGTAGTATAACATCAAAGCATAATAGCAATTCAAAGTCCACATCTGTCGCAAATGTCGCTACATCCAATCTTTCTTGTGTTTGCAAGGAAAACCATTCAATACATCATTGTAAGGAATTCCTCAATTTATCGGTTGAAGATAGAATTAAGGCTGCGAAAAAAGCACATTTATGTCTCAATTGTTTAAGATCGAACACACATCAAGTGAAAGCATAATATTCGAGTATGTGCCGAAAATGTGGCAAAAAACATAACACATTGTTACACATAAGTGCTCCGAATAGTGCGGATATATCGCGATCAAGCAACAAATCAAGCTACCAATCCTCCATTCCCCGTCGCCACGCAATGTACATCAGATCATCCGTCCATTAAATATTTTACTATCTACTGCAATTATCCATGTATACGATTCCAATAATCAAATTCATTCATGTCGAGTATTACTTGACAGCAGTTCTCAAATGAATTTCATAACGAAGGAGTTGGCAAATCGCTTGAAGTTCAGGGAGCGACCTCTTGATGTGTCAGAAGTTATAGATGAAGTAATCCACGCTAATAAAGTAGTTAATCTTTGCGTCAAATCACGTTTTAATAATTTCTCCGAAAAAATGGTGCTTCCAAAAATAACAGCAGTTGCCACAGCACTTCATACCCATGCAAAGTGTGTCTGTTCCAAAATATATAAAACTCGCTGATACTAGTTTTAATGTACCAGCAAGCATTGATATGTTAATCGGGACCGAGTTCTTCTGGAAGCTCATTTGTACGGGTCAGATCGAACAATCAAAAAATCAGTCGATGCCTTTGCAAAAGACACATTTTGGATGGATCATTTTTGGTATCACACTAAGTGACATAACCGGATCTGTTTCTTCTCTTAATTTTCATTTAACCTCACTCGATGATTTAAGGCTCACATTGAATCGATTTTGGGCGGTTGAACATGATACCACTCCTAAATCATTTTCTCTCGAGGAAAAGGCCTGTGAAGAGTCATTTCTGCAAGGCGTAAAGCGTAATTTAGAAAGTCGTTTTATCGTTAAATTGCCAACAAAGCAAGACAAACTGGATGAATTGGGAGAATCCAAGGACATCGCTCTAAAATCTTTCAAATCTTTGGAGAAGCGGCTCATCGCTCAACCCTGTATGTACGAATACAGGAAGTTTATGGATGAATACAGGCGCTTGAATCACATTAAGGTGACCAGTAGCACGATGCTAAGCCATAGCTCTCCAGCTTTCTATCTTCCACATCATGCTGTACAAAATGAAACGAGCACCACTACCAAGTTCCGGATAGTATTTGACGGCTCATGCAAGACCACGACCGAACTATCTTTAAACGATGATACACATTGAGAGTAGGACCCACACTACAAGAGGATCTCTTCTCCATTTTGGCCAGATTCCGAACATTCAGGATCGCTCTCACAGCCGATATAGCAAAGATGTATCGACAAGTTCTGGTCGATTCAACTCAGACACCATTGCAACGTATTTTCTGGCGAGAATCTCCAGATGAGCCCATCAAGACTTTCGAATTACTCACTGTCACTTATGGTACGTCATCAGCATCATTCTTGGCTATCAGAGCCCTGAGAAAATTAGCGGAGGACAATGCGGATTGCTATCCGAGGGCGTCACAAATAGCATTGAGGAATTTTTACGTGGATGATCTCGTCACGGGGGCCGACTCAATAGATGAAGCTCTGTCTATCAAGAAGGAGATCACCGCATTGCTACGGGAAATTCGAGCCTATAAAATGGGCATCCAATGCTCTTGCCCTCCAAGATCAAAATTCCAGCAAGCCAAAAGAATTCACCTTGTCCTATGCCTCCAAGCATCCCATGCTGTTGCCTGGAAATCATCAATCCATTTTCTTAATTGTGATACACAAGCATTAAAGGCACTTTCATAGTAGTCGGACCACAGGCTACTCTGGCCGCGGTACGTGAGCGTTACTGGCTCACTTCGGCGCGCAACGTCATTCGATAAATTCTTAGGAGATGTATCGTCTGTTTCAAGTTCACCAAAACTCGCTTCCGCTATTATGGGAAACTTGCCGGAACCGCGGGTTAAAATTTCTTCGAAAATATTTGGTCAGTGTGGAGTGGATTATGCCGGCCTCTTCTATTACAAGGAGGGTGTTAGAAAGTCCACTAAGCATGAACACGTGCATGCCCGGTGCGCCAACCATTTTCTTTTATTCTTGATATGACGCGAGTATAACCCACGAGAGATATTAAGATAGTTTTATAGCCAATCGCCTCTTTTTATTACGCGCTGCTGAATTCCTTCGGGCATGGCCACAAGGCTAGATGACACAGACCGACGACAGGCCACAAGGCACGAGACACAAAATAGCGTTACACATAACGCAACGAGGACACCGAGGTCCTCTCCCTAACAATGTCTATGTATTGTTTTAAAACCAATATCATGCGAGCACCAAGTTCTTTGATGTTCGTAGCCAGTTTGTGGCTATTGGTGCGGCTGATGTGCCCGATATGGCGCCGAAAGTGTCTGGGCGCTGACGATTACCAACTAACGGCGAAGGACAATTGGCTGGAAATCATTAGGTTGCGAATGAATGCTATTCGCTGATTCTGACTCTTATGCCGTAAGGCGGTTTAATACAAACTTGACTAATTATTTAACAAATATAGATTACAAAAATAGAGACGTGATTGCGTGCGTAAGACGGCTCGGATACCGGCATTGTGTCGCGAGATTACAATACAGAAAATTAAGAAAATATACACTGAGTATTTATCCGACGACGCTAACAATTATCACAAGACATGAATGGTGATCGATCTTGCAGTGTACACAAAGTAATTCGGAACCTTACTTCAGAGTTTTAACTAACTACCGCAGAGACTTACATGATGCCCGCACGCGGCACGCCATGACACAAGAGAGAGCGAAAAAAAGAAGCAGAAAGAAGGACCAACTTCAGTGCCGCGACGGATGTACGCAGCGCCGCAACCAACGACGTGCGATGCACGCTTTGACGTGCAATTAATGGAATTTAAGCCTCGACATCATCGGTTGGAATGAGTTTATTATATTTATTTATATATTTAATTTTTTTTTAGCAACAAAAAAAAATGAAATCTTACCTTTCGAATATATATAAAATCTACATCATTTTAGTTATGAATACTTTTAAAAATATATGTATCACTAGTTCTCTAAATTGTAAATTGTAGGTGTCGTATACGACGGTGTAGTGTTTAATACATGTTGAAATATTTGAATTAACGCTATATTTGAATTTTTTTTAGCTCTATTTTGAAGCACCAAATTAGCACTAAAATCATATAATATTTAATTTTTGTGTACGTGTCTTGTATCTATTTTTTTATGGAGGATCCAGCTTGCCATTAAGCTGAACCCGCTCCCCCCCATTTGTTTTTATTGCTGCTAAACGATTTGAGCATTAAAATTCTGAATAGGGTATTAAATTAGCACCTAAAAAAGCATTAAATTTTTTACCTATTCCGAACTTAATTTTCGATGATGGAAGATCTTTTTTGTTTGGATGTCTAGAATAGAACTTTCCCTTAAGGTAATTAATACATTTTGTACAAATTATTTTTGTTATAGAACTTGTAGTCTTATAAGATAATCTAAAATCATCTATAATAAAAATAATCTACATACAATGTGTTAGTAATTACTTTAATTCATAAAATAAAGATAAAATAAAATATTCTAAAAATTATTTGTTAAAATCTTAATTACAATCATGATTTAAGAAGATAAGGTGTATCATCATAGTGATGGCGGCACGATGAGCGAAGCTAATGAAATTTGGGTCCAAATACCCCCCGTGCAATTTAAACACGAAATAATCACATATGGTCATAAGTACCTAAAATGTTTGAAAAAATAATATAAAAATATTGGGTCATCTAAAAAATATCCGCGGTTTTTTGTCATTAGATGTTGATGGTCATATATCTAGTGACAAAAAACCGCGGATACTTTTTAGATGACCCAATATTTGGAATACAAGCGCGCAAAAATAATATAATAATATAAAAACAGTTGGAATAATACAAACGTAAAAAAATGCTTTTGTAGTGAGAAAATTATTTCTTTGATTTTAATTATTTTATTTAAAAATAATAACACGTGCCAAAATATTACGAGCAATTTTGTGTCCTGCTATTTCTCAATTTCTTGATGGAAAAAGCACAATCTGAGTATAAACTTTTAATGTAACAGATACGAATATTTCTAATCAATTATTACAATGATTAATTATTAAAATATTATTACAATGATAATAAATCACGTTGCATTATTACATGATATTCTGCAATTTTATAATAAAGTCGAGTTATAAATCATATAAAATTCGAGTCTGTATAACACTCAATAATTTAACGGTGATGCCATTTTTTCAAGAGAATTCACATAAAAAATATTCGAAGAAATAGAAAAAAATCAAGATTGAAGCGTCTCAACTTTAACAATATTTAATCAATTTATGTGAAAGAAATAATCTAATTATTAAAGCTAAATTCTTGCTCGATTCATTTGTCTATTTATTACAATACTGAACATTTTTATTCAGATAAAATTAAAATCTTGTAAAAGAATACATTAATTTTGGAAATATCAATCGTGCAGTGAATTCTGAAGATTATAAAAATTAATGTAAAATATATTACAATTGTATAAAATATATCAATAATCATTGCGTAATTTATCAATTCCAGCTACACACCGAATCTTAACACGATCACTTGATCATTTTATGAATACTTGACAGCTATGCACAGCTGTTTTGATATCAATTATTATTCAGTTCATTATGTAATGTGACTGTCATTTTAACTTATAATTAGTATATATTATTGCGCGCAGAATTTTATTAATTTTATTAGAAAACATTTTGAGAATTTTAAACACGACCGTATGTGTGAATACATCAAATACGATAAAGAAAGCCATGATCAGTCAAGATTGGATGTTTCAAATAATACATTATATATTCTTATATTAAATTGGTTTATTCCGGATATGATTGCGAACCAATAACATTTGGTTTCAACATACCGGAAAGTTGAGATGTCTCAACTGTTCAATTCTGACTGTTGATTCAAATAAATAGTCTAATGAATGTACATTGTACATATTTCACTGAAAATTATATGCATTTTATCGTTATGATTGGGATCTTTTTGCTAATATGTAGATACATCATGTTCGTATAATAGCAGTCATATTGTTTTGAACATTTGGACCCAATTCTTATTGGCCATAAACTATTGCACATACGTGACCTTTCTTCTTATATCATCTATCCCCGACGGCAGATAGTTTAGCCGTGGCGAATCGCCATCTGGTAGTCAGGGATCGTGTCATCGGCATCAAATTTCTGATGGCTACCGGAGCGGATGTCTCGACCATCCCCGCTTCAAGACGCGACCTTGCTCATGTTAGTAAACAGGTGCTCTACGCCGCAAACGGGACGATCATTTCTACGTACGGACATAAATTACTCCAGCTCGATTTAGAATTCCGCCGTTTTTCAATGGCCCTTTGTAATCACTGAAGTAGATACTTTCATAATTGGCTCAGATTTCCTGGCACGTTATAACTTGTTGCCTGACATCCGGCACAAGCGACTGATCGATGGCGACACATTCCTCAAGGTCTCTGCCCAGCTTGTCAGTAAAACCATTCCACGGTTGACCGACAACTGTCCATTCAAAAAAATTCTAAGCGCGTTCCCAGAGATAACCAGGACATCGATCACGCACAAACAAGCTGCACACGGAGTGGAACACATAATCGAGACAACGGGTTCCCCGGTGTCAAACAAAGCCAGACAACTCTGTCCAGAGAAATTGAAAGTGGCCAAACAGGTGTTCGAATACATGATACAACAAGGTTTATGCAGGTCTTCCAAGAGCCCTTGGGCCAGTCCACTACACCTTGTTCAGAAGAAGAACACGGACTGGCGTCCGTGCGGGGATTACCGCTCAACGAGGTAACCGTTCCGGATCGTTTCTCGATTCCATTCCTACAGGACAGCACACATTTTCTGCACGGTAAAACCGTATTTTCCACAATAGAGTTATGCGCGTATACCAGCAGATTCCAGTCCGCGAATCAGAAAACCGCCATCATCATTCGGGCTTTTCGAATTCTCATACATGACTTTCGGACTTCGTAACGCAGCCACAAATTGATTACAGTATTTTATAATGATTTCTAATTTTTTTTCTAAAAATTATACTTAAAATTTTCCAAAATAACCCTTTCACGTTAAAAATCAAGAATATATATAGCTTCGTGCCTCTCTTAATTAAAAATGTTCAAGTCAATTAAGAAGATTAGT